TCGGGGTTGATCTATATCCCTCGATTAGATACCATGAACCCGAGAAACTTGCCCGAACCGGCCCTAAATGCACACTTCTCTGGGTTTTGCTTCATGTTGTACTTCCTTAGTATGTCAAAGGTTTACTATAAATGTTTCAAATGGTCCTCTACTCGTAGGGACTTGACCAACGTATCATCAATACAACCTTCCGTTGATTTTCCTATTTGTTCTTCGAACATCCGATTTACTAGGCGTTGGTAGGTGGCACCGGCATTCTTTAATCTGACCAGCATTACGTTATAGCAGTAGGTGCCGAACTTTGTTATGAAAGAAGTCTTTTCTTGATCGTCCAGGTCCATTCGAATTTGGTTGTACCCGGAGTAGGTGTCGAGAAAACTGAGTATCTCGTGCCCGGCCGTCACGTCGATCATTCAATCGATGTTAGGCTAAGGGAAAGAATCTTTTGGACATGCTTTATTTAGATCCTTATAATCTACATACATCCCCAGTTTGTTGCTTTTTTTAGGTACTACCACTATGTTAGCTAACCAATCCGGTAATTTAACTTTCGGATGGAACCTATTTTTAGAAGCTTGGACACCTCATCCTTGATGAACGCGTGTTTGATCTCAGACTGTGGCCTTCTCCTTTGCTTGACCGGATGGAACTTCGGATCCAAACTCAGCTTGTGGCCGGTTACCTCCAGTGGGATCCCTATCATGTATAGATATGACCAAGCAAAATAGTCGGCGTTTACTTTAAGAAAATCAATAAGTTTTTTCTTTAGCTCGGGGGTTAACCCCGTGCCCAGGTATACATTTCGATCCGGTAGGTGCTCGATTAATATAGCTTGCTCCAACTCCTCGACCGTTGATTTGGTGGCACCGATGTCATCGAGAGTTATGAATGATCCCAGGACACTATAATCGTCCTCATCATCCGCTACTTGTTCTTCCTATTTCTCCGGTTCGGCTGAGGCCGGTATCATTGATTTCTATTTAGTCTCTTCTTTTTTGGTCAGTTCCGCGCTTCTCGATGTTGAGAAAGCGGGTACTGGGATCACTTTATCGACAGCAATCATTTCCCTTGCAGCCAGCTGTTCTCCGTAGACCATTTTGACTCTCCCGGCATAGGAAATTTCAGCACCTGGTGTAAGATCGAAGGTACCGCCCTCATGTTGTAGACCCATAGCCTTACGAATAAAGGGTTATACCTCATATCCCCTTCGATCACGTAGAACTTCATTTTTTGGGTTGTCCCGACAGTGTTTACCGGCAAAGTTATCTCTCCTTTCGTGGTCTCACATGCTATACTGAACCCATTCAATACCCGAATTGCCGGTACAATTTGATCCTGTAACCCTAGTTGCTCTACGACCCTTGACCCGATGATGCTGGCCGAGCTACCAGGATCAATCAACACACGTTTAACATGAGATTTATTGATAAGTACATATATTACCAGTGCATCATTGTGGGGTTGTACGATACCCTCAGCTTCTTCGTCGCTTAACGAGATAGCTTCCTCCGGAACGTAATTTCGGGTGTGTTTTTCCCTCGTAATAGAAACTTTAATGCGTTTTATCATTGGCCCTTGGCGGACATAGACTCCCCCAATGATCATGTTGATCACATACTGAGGCTCCTCTTTTTCGACCTGTTTGTTGGCGTCCCTGTTTCTGAAGTGGTTTTTGGCTCGCTAGCTTAGGAATTCTCGGAGGTGCCCATAGTTGAAAAATCGAGCAACTTCTTCTCTTAACTGTCGGCAATCTTTGGTCCTATGACCGTGAGTGTTGTGATACTTACACATCAAATTAGGATCTTTCTGGGCAGGGTCGGACTACAATGGTTGAGGCTACTTGATCTCTTTGATGCGCCCGATGGCCGACACAATGCTTGCAACATCCACATTGAAATTATACTCCGATAATCTTGGTGCTTCCCTACTCCGAAGCGACATGTCGAACCCACTCTTTCACATCAGGCCCCGTCCACTCGGCCCTCGATCACTTCTCTCTTCCTTCCTAACCGGGTGTCGCCCAGATCTATTCCCCTCTAATCCGCGATGTATGGCTGATATCAATCTCGAACTGGCCTTGGCTCCTGATCAATGGCTCTTTTAGATCTATCATCGGTTCTGATGGGGTAAACAGATCCAGAAGGGGCCCCGAGTTGGTTGTCTTCGACCCTGATCTTCTATTGGTACCTATTGTGGATGCAGCCGAGGTTACCGCTAGGTACTCCACAAAATTTTGTTGTAGCTGTTGAGAGGCCACGGAACTTCAGGGTTTGAGCCCCTGAGTGAACTGGTGACAGATCCATTCATTCTATCTAGAATCTTGACACGAACTCCCTAAGTATCTCGTTATCCCTTTGTTTGACCTTGAAAAGATCTGACTTTCTCGTCTCGACCTTGATGGCTCCGGCATGGGCCCTTACGAAAGCATCTGCAAGAATAGAAAACGAGTCAATAGAATTTGGAGGCAAGTTGTGATACCATATCATTTCTCCCTTGGACAAAGTTTCCTTAAACTTTTTCAGTACACCGACTCGATTTCGTCATCTTCCAAGTTGTTCCCTTTGATCGCGCATGTATAGGAGGTTACATGCTTATTTGGATCCATTGTCCCATTATACTTGGTAATGTCGGGCGTATGAAACCTCTTTGGGATCGGCTTCGGTGTTGTGCTCGGGGGGAGGGGGGCTTCTGGATAAAAAATTTGGAGTTCAGTCCCTACAATATTGGAGGTGCTCCCAGGATTTGATCGACCCTGGATTTGTATGTTTCCACCTTTTTGTCCTTGGCCTTAATCTTTTTTTCGCCTGACTCCACCCATTTCATTAATGCTTCGAGCATCTTCATTACCTCTGAAGTTTTTTCGGGCTCGACTTCACCCTGTCTCACAGCAACTTGTTCATCTCTCCGAGTATTTTCCCGGGATTGTTTGGGCTCGGCCTTGTTAGGGGCGTGGCTTTGGTTCTGCAGCTGTGCTATTGCCGCTTGTTGAGTCTACAACATTTCAAAAATCAATCGTAGGCTCACCCCATCACCTTCACCTTCGATCGCTTCTCGAGCCGTTTGCCGGGGTATCCCACAGACACTGTTTTCGGGATCAATTGGCAAATTGATGTTGATGGCCACCTGCGAGTTAGCATCGACCGGGTCGGCAGCAGGGACACCATTAGGATCGGCAGGAGGCACATCATTACTGCACACCACATTATTATTTTCGACGTGATGGCCTGACTCGGCGTCAAGGTTCAAGTAAGCAGAGTGAAATTTGACATTCTTAGGCTGACCTGGAATTAAGATTTCAAAGAACAAGCGTAAAATAGGGTGTGTTATGGAGATTCGTATCAAATCACCACTACTATCCTTAGCTCCACGGTGGGCGCCAAACTGTTTACCCCAAAAATAAGTAATAATTAAATTTATACGTGGTTTAAAGGATACGCGGTTTAGTTCAATACGAATAATCAAGAATAACAGATAGATGAATTAAAGACAAAATAAACGATCAAACCAATCGCAATGTAATGACCAAGCCTGATCTTAGATTGAGTAGTGGAACTCGTCCTTGATTGGACCCTCGGTACAAGCTTGGTCACGAGTGAAGAAAAGAACAAGTGAATAATGCCTTGAACCGTAGCTAGAACACAAAAGTAAACTTTTATTGCTTTGAAATGCGTGTTACAATGTGTCAGACTAAAGAAAAACTTCTCCTTTATATAGTAGAAAAATTTCAGTTCTAGTATAAGTCTAAAAAAGGTAAAAATCTTCTTTTCCCTTATAATTGATATTGAACGGGATTCGCACCATAATATTTGGTTGAGGGCGAATATTACGGCATCGTATCTGTCATGCATAACCGTTCACCGCGTCTCCCGAGGTCCTTAAGCTATACTTGGTCCCGGGTACGTTGTTTTACCGTGTCCGATCTCAGATACATCGTTCATTCTTACCGGATCTCAATATGAGGGATTCCTGACCTCGTTTATAATCACGTCGATCCGTGCTTTCCCTTCGTGCTCTCGTCGGGGAATCGGGGACAAACTTTGCCCCGTACACATATATGCTTAGTTAAGACTCGCTGAAAGTTCTGTGTAACTTTTGTTAGATTTGCACATGCAGATTGTAACCTTATAATTTTGATTTTTAAGATTTGTATTTATTGGATCACACTCTGATTTCACCAATACTGCTTGTATATTCATCAACTTACTAAGAAATAAAGAAAAGACATTATGGTCCTAGAAATTCTTTAGAACACAAATTGTTTTTCCAAGTCATCGGCACCTGTAGGTAATGAAAGATTCGAGTAGTATGAACGTGATCTCTTAATAAAAAATACTAAGTGGTACTTAATTAAGCTTTAATACTATCACGTTTAATTGAGTAGTACCATTAAAGCAAGTTGCCTGGGATTCATTCCGGACCGAGTTTGGCCCTGACCGGGCCACTTAATATGTCTAATGTAAATGTTTGATATGTTGCGTAATTTTCCATGGAAAGAATCTGCTTACAATGGAAGTTTGCACCAGACCTCCAGTAATGCTAATTATGAATTAAAGTACACACTTAAAGGTTGTACCAAGCCAATAGAAATACTAATTAAAAACTATACAGAGTAATCTTTATTAATTAAGTGATAGAAGTCAACTTTCAGCACACATCTAATTTTTCCTCACCTATTGGTTTAGTCTTTTTTAGCTGTCACCTCCGAGTCAATGTGCTTTAAAAAAAGAATGATTTTTTAGCTGCAATAGAGAACCGCTTCATGATCTAATTAACAGCAACTATGCAAGTTCTATGCCTGAATAATCAAGAATTGGAGAAAGATGCGAGAGTTTGATTGAATATTTCCAATGTGTTAGTGCAAAATATTTTTCTTAATGAAAATTACTCTATTCTGTGGAGAGAAATCAAATCAAGGGAACAAACTGCATATGATTGTCACATCTAAAAAGCCAAATTTTGGGCATAAGATATTACAAGGAGGAAACTGCACCTTTTATCCGTCGATCAAGCAACTTTTCTCGGTCATTCCACTCCATTAAAGGAAAATTAAAAATAAAATGCATAAAAGGTTCAGTTATCTGAAAATAGGTCTACCATAATTCCATCCATTTAATGATAATCAACAGAACTATAACCTTAAGAACGAATGACAAATCAATGCCCAACGAAATCAACCAACCTTTACATAGTATCATGGCTATACATTGGATGAAATTAGATGAGAGACATCTCTATTGAGACTAAATGACAAGAGAAAATCTCAACTTTGAAAAGTAGCTAATATGATACTTACCAACCTTTGCCTATAAGCCACAACCAATCTAGAGTTACACCAGCAAATATGCCTCCTAAAAGAAACAACACTAGAATATTTCCCAAGGCATTCTGCTCTGGTCCCTATAAACCCAAAAAATAGTGCTATTAATCACTCTATGATATACAAGAATGTAGTTGCTTTAAAGATTTCTAGTTAGAGAATTAACAAACCTTGTAACCTTTTGGTGCAGAAGTGAGGACACAGACTGTGAGGTAGCCGTTACTTAGTCCCAAGAACGATGTGAGCATAATCATCCAGCCCTGATCACCATATTTGGCTGTGAAGTAGAAGGCAGGGATAAGTAGAAAACGCGAGAGAATCACCAACATGAGTCCGTTCCGCGATTCCAGTTTTAAGCATTTGATTAGTGGCACATATCTTCCTATGAGATCCCACACGTTATACATCGCAATAAGGACAAGTGCATACCTACAGATCGCAATGGGTTGGAAATAGATACAAATGTTAGAATGGGTTTCATGCAAATATTAGACTGTAAATGAGTCATTGCACATTTATCAAGTACAATAGCTTGAAGTGAGTGGGAAACCAACCATGATCCTAAGCTGTGAGATCCAGTATCCTCAGACAAGAATCCCGGGAAAATTGATAATGTTAGAGCATATATCAGAAACAAATCTATTGCATAGTCTATGTTCTGCAATAACAATTGTTTGTTGTTAAGTCGCTCCACATGTTCAGGACCATGCTTACTCTACAATGAAGTTAACACAAGATCAAAAGTGTTAGCACCGTGTTGATAGCACTAAACAAAAGATACAATGCCCGATAGACTTCAGAAAAGTTTAAAAACCTTTATTTCTGATCCTTCTTGTTTGTAAATTCCCCCTGCAGCAAGGTCACCCGCAACAGTCTTTGATCCCTCTGAAGCTGCTTTTGAGCGATAGTACTTCACTATCGGCAGCTTTGGGAAGACAAATGCATATAGGAGGACACAAAGCAGCTCAAAGAATGTAGATACAGAGAAGAACAGAACTGCAGCAGATAGTTGTAGAATATTTATGATGCTTATTAGGGGATAGAGAACACATAGCATGTTACAATCTAAAGGTCCAAAACCTTAACAAACGGTAGAAATCAATTTACTGGAGGAAATGAGAAGATGATCGAAATGCTGGCAACAGACTGAATCTGTGGTGATTCAAAATAATATTAACGGTAGCTAGCAGAATAAAAGCACAAGTCTGTCTTTAGCAATTTAGATCATTTGCAACAAGCAAAATAGATTAAAAAGAAAAAACCTATAATTGTATCAAGATAAGAATAAGACATACTTGCACCATTTCGTAGACCATCCTTTGAATTCTCAAATGCTGCTTTGGTAATTAACCTCAACGCGGATGTTAGAACACCAGATGCAGCCAGTCCAGCGAGGAAAGACTGAAAATCTCACACCAGAATAACTTTTTTTTGAACAATTCTTGAAATCGTAGAACGAATAAAGGATCGCAAAAGGTGAAATATATCAGTAGGTAGAAAATAAACCTGTATGAATTCAGGTAACATATATGCAAGGTCTCCAATCATTCCACCTTGAACATGGGCATCTGCAACTCCAAAGGCACCACTGATAGCACATATTCCAATAAAAGTTCCTAGCCCTCCCTTACCAGATGTAGCTAAATCCAACTGCCAATTCATAGAACTCATAAACCAAATTAGATTGTTCATGGTTATGACACTATTATCTTAATGAAGATAAGGTCAACTACCATTATACTCGAAAATTGAGACAAAACACAGATAAGTAGTACTTACAACAAGAACTAAGAGTGTACTGATGAAGAAAAGACTATATCCAAAAAGATTTCTTTTCCTCGTATTCATTTTCGCCTCATTGTAAGCCAGTATTGCAAGTGTTCCTAGTGCAAATGGTTGATATATGAGGGTAAGGACCCTGGAGGGGTGGTAATCCTGTGTAAAAACCAAAACTTAATAGAATTAAATGCCAAAACATAATTTTTTAGGTAATCGCAGGCGGTGTCATAAAAATCTAAATGGAACATAGATGACAAATCGACAAAAGATATTCATTCTAGTACAAAGCACCAAACCTTATTCCAGTATTATCACATTATGGCACATGAATATCTTTGACTAAGAACAAGAGGACAAATTAAATAACAATAACAACAACTCCGACTCAATCCCAAGGAAGTTGGTGTCGGCTAAAAATACATAGTTTTATACCCTTGTCAATGATTTTGGCATTTCGTTACTCCTACGTTCATGGTGGTTGTTGTGCTAAACTCGAGAAGAACTCTGATGCACAAACAAGACTAAATACTCCACTATGTTGAATGCTCAGAAAAGTTAAGCTAAATTTGTGCTTGGTTTACTTGTTGATCTTAGCAAATTCAAATTGTTACTGAGTAATACAGTAAGTCAGAATAAGTGAACTGTAACTAAATTCCATAATTAAAAGATACAATTTGATAGGATTAAAGATTACCGGAAATAGGTAGACATAATAGTCCTCAATAGTTAACATACTGTTCCAAGAAAAGAGGCACCCATTGCCCAAAAGCCAACACACTAGCATTGCAGCATACTTGCCCTGCAAATTTTTGCTAAAGTTGTAGTTAAAATTGAGAATTTATTTTCAGTCACATGTTACTAAATACATGTAAAGAGAAAACCACGAACCTCAAGCCTAACTGGAACTTTATTATCCTCAGCCATTGGGGGGATAGTATTATGAAGAGCTTCTTGTAGCTAATAACAACATTAAGCACATAATCATGCACTATTCAGAAGAAATAGTTGTAAGTAATAAAATTTCTTAAGTAAAACCTCCTCAACCAAAAACAAATATTGGCAGAAATCTAAAAAGAAAAGGGAGGTTCCTCGGTGGGAGAGTGGGGCGAAGAAAACATTATCATACATATGACACTATAAACAACGTAACACATTTACGGTAGACATCAAAGTAAAACATCTCCCACCATTTGTATAGCAGAGAGAGAGAGAGAGAGAGAGAGAGAGAGAAGCTTTACCAAACAAGAAGGGGTAGAAATTGGAAGAGAGGAGTTGACTTGAGCAAAATAGAGAGGTCGTTGGTTTTATTTACGTAATCACGCCGTTGGATTCGGAGATCTGCGTTGGTACAGATGCTGCTGTTGTATATACGTATTTAGTATAGCAAAGAGCAAATAAAGCGGATCACATATTAGTCTCCTATTCCATTTCATAAGCAAATGGCTACCTTTTAATAATGTAGATTTTAATAATCTAAATCAATTCACTATAACATAAAATAGAAATTCTAAAGATAAATGGTTTTTAAGAGCTCGTTTGCATTAGCTGATTGTAAATAGCTGATAAGCTTGAAGTGCTGAAGAGTTTTTTTAAGTGCTGAAATTGATTTTTAAAATAAGCATTTACGTGTTTAGATAAAAGTGTTGAAACTGATAATAAGCGGTTGATGCGTATTAAAAAGGGTTGATAAGCTATTCTTTTGTTAAAATGACTCAAATACCCTTGATTTTTTTTCAAAAGATTATAAATTAAAAATTTCTTTGTAAAGAAAAGAATTAACAACGAATATGCAATGAAGGGAAAGTCAAGAAATTTGTTCTGAGAAAAGTATTTTGTGAATTAGAAAATATTATTAAGGATAAATTAGTAAAAGTGTTGGTCAAACTAAAAGTGCTTATAAGCCGAAAAGCCATAAGTTGGGGAGGACTAGCTTATGATGATTTATGGCTGATTTTAACTTATAAGCACTTTGGGTGTTTACTAAACACGTAGATAAGCCAAAAGGTGTTTATAAGTTAATTTGACCAGCTTATAAGCTTAGCCAAACAACCTATAAATAAGTAAAAGTGATTCTTTTTGGAAAGAAAAAAGTGTTCATATATTGAGACAGAGAGAATACATAAAATCAAAATCCAATTTATGTACTAAAGAATTTGAATTAGAAAAGTAGCAGTAAGTAAACGTCTCTCGCAGACGAAAAAAGAAAAAGAAGCAAAAGGGAATAATTGATCTTACTGTAAAATCTGAGGACTCTTTTCCCCAGATCGACCAATAGGAGGGAGGTTTCGATTAGGTTGGGAAACAACAAAACCCAAACAGAAGAGGAAAGGGGTCACTTTTGCGAATAATTGGTGATTGGAGAGGTGATGGATTCAACGTTGTTATTAGTGCAAAAGATTGGGGGGAAAACAAGGGAAGTTGTAGGTCTTTTTTCTTTTGTCGCTGAATTAAAAGGTGCAACCGTGCAAGCATAAAAGTGTCTTGTGAGTCGAAATGTAAATTCTTGAAAGGATGTTCTTCCTTGAAAAAGATAATAACAAAATAATTCCAAATGTTAAAAAGGCTAAATTTCAAGATTTTAAGTTATGACGGTAATATATATTTCACACATTTATGTAAGTCGTGGTGAATAGAATTTTCAAATATCTTTACTATTGAATATCACTTCTATTCGAATGAAAAGTATTGTTACATCCACTAGTACTTTTTGGGATCGTACCAATTCTGTATAGATAATGTTAAAATTGTACTTTCACTTGTTTCATTTTTATATGACATTTCCTTTTCCATTTCATTCCAAAAGAATTGATATCTTTCTCTATCTGAAAATTCTTTGATTCCAACATTCTCAGTTTATCTTTAGTGTCACTTTAAAAGTATTGTTTTTTCTCTTTTTTAAACTTGGTGCCAAATAATGTTGTCTTATAAAATGAACCAGTAAGGATTGAGACTTCTCAGTCCTAGATGTAGCAGCAAATAGAGATTCTCTCCTCTACTTTCCCTGCCTTTCCGCATCCTTTTGAAGCAAATATCCTCTTAAGAAGCCAACATTTTGCTTTTGAGCTCAGAAATCTCTTCTTGATCTTTCCAATTATCTTTGGTTCCATTAACGCACTCTTAGTATTTCTTACGTCTTCTGAATGGTTTTACCTTTTTATTTATTCGAGGGGTGAGTTAGGCAGTCAGTTGCTACATGCAGTGAAATAAACGACTAGGTAATATCGTATTAAGTACCAAGAAAAAACAAGATGTGGTCGATAGCCATTTGTAATACAAACACAAATGCACAATTGCAGGATGGACAGTAGTAGAACCTGTCCTAACAGGGGGGAAAAGAAAAGAAAAAAGGTCCGATTACCATTCACATTATGATTGTGTGAGCCATGTCGTCAAACATCAAGATGATGAAAATTCGTACATGTAATTCAGATTAAATTAAACATCTACATATGATACAGAACAAGAAATGTTTTACAAACATGTAAGCTCACAAAAATACACGCTACTACATGACAAAAGCGAGCGCTAGGATGTGTGAATAAGGTTGAACCTGGTACCAACACCCAGAAGTACAAGAAGATCTTCATTGTGATGACTGCATAGCATTAAGCTGATTTATGCGTCTTCGCCACTACTTTGATTGCCATTTTTAAGTATATTGAACTTGCAAAGAGGGCAGGTGGCATTTATGAACAACCACTTGTCTATGCAGGCAGAGTGAAAATGGTGACGACAAGGGAGCTCACGCAGCTCAGTTCCATCTTCATAGGGACAAAGGCAAATGCAACATTCCTGCAACAGACAAGAATGAACGAAATCAACTTCTAGAAGGATTGGGAAGTTCTCTAGGCTTTGTGAAATTTTCTAATCAAAGAACAAAGAATGTATAGAACATACGGCATCTTCCAATGGGAGAACATGCTCAATGGGTGTATCAGTGTCACATTCAGTCATTACTCCTCCAAATGACTCTTGAATCTCGCCATTTTGTTTTTCAAAATCACCAAGTTTTCGAAACTTGTATTTAGGCAGCCTCTCAACGTCTTCCTTGGTTGCTCCTTCCTATCTCACGAAAAAAGCAAAATTGAGAAAGATGTTCAGACAATTGATGCAAAAAGAGAGAATCTTCAGAAAGAAAGAGACACAACCAATAGCATAAGATAGAAAATAAAGGCAGGTTTTTATTTTTTTATTCAAAACTATATCAATCAAAAGTAGGAACACTATTCAGTTACATCTTCCAATTCCTTTCAGTGATGGAATTGCATAATGTAAACATAAATTATCTCTTTTCATGAAACTCGACAGAAAGAGGGAATAATAAAACAAAGAGAAGACCCTATGATATTATATTTTAATAACCAAAAATATTGAGTAATTGGAAATATCATTTTACCACTAATTACAATTATCAGGCACCTCATTTCCACCATGTTAACCACTACCATTTGGTAAATTATAGGGCTTTTTTGCATAAATCACACGATCCTAAAGCAACTGCAACACATAAGTTGAAGCAAATTGCTACCATAACAATATGAAGGATGATATCTACATTCTTCTAGGTATCAATTTCCGCAATTTGCTTCTATTTGGAGAATCAGCCACAGAAGGGAATCTGGGAAAACGAGTATTATTACTAGTGAATTGGGTAAATGGGTGAAAACGGGTTGGTAAGCATATTCAGTCCCCAAAGCGTACAGACCAGACTTGGGTTTTGGTGGGTGCACGATTTATACTCAATTGATCGAAGCGGTTTGAGGAGAGGTAGAGGTGGGCCAAAGAAGTATTCACACTACCCTCCCCAGACCCTACTTGTGGGATTATACTGGGTTTGTTGTTGTTGTTGATCGGAGCAATGAATGGAAAAGACAGTTAAAACATGAATGTTAGATGCATGTTTCAAAGATCATGGACGCTCGTCTACAAACATTTTCTAGATTAGCCTAGGAGGATTTCAAAGGAAAAGTAAGGCCCCAATTACTAAATTATACAGGTCTTAGAATAATGTGAATCCAAAGAAGAACTAGAAAAAATGTGGATTCAATAAAGAAATTGACTACCAGTAAACCAAAATCAAGTCTACATAGTTCAGTCATAGATTATTCCCTCCGTTTCATTGGAAGCTGCCTTTTTCTAAAAGTACTGAAGTAAACTCTAGCTTTGCAAGCTAAGCAGGCTGGACAGTAAGGAGGATGATAGGAGACACAGACCAACTTCTGAATTCTACAGGGCACCAGGCTTTAAAGCTGGGCAACATATAATTTAAGGGGGCAATTGAAAGGGGGAAATATGCAGCCCGCCATACCTGTCCCTGGACATACTAAACGCTATTTGTGCGCCTAATGGTATAGTTGAAACATGGCTTTGGAACTTGATACGGAAAACTAAATTTCCAACCAAAGCAATACACTTCAGCTGGACAAAACTGAATGAAGCATGTTTGACCCAGGATAATCTCAACAAGAGAGAGAGAGAGAGAGAGAGAGACTAGACTCTGTAAGAGATGCTACACGTGCCACCAGAATGCAGAAGCACAAGTCATCTATTTCTCCAGTTAAGTAGTAGTAGTTAATATCCGGAGCATGTTCTACTCAATTTTTGGAGTAAACTGGGTTAATATAATATTAAGGAAGCGTATGAAAACTGAATTTCATGGAAAGTTGGAAAATGCATCAAAAGAGTCTGGAAAAGAGTCCCCGTAGATATTTTTTGGTATGTATGGACCGCAGATGTTTTTATGGGATCTCAACTACCAACACTCCCTCAAAGCTAAATGTCTTCTCAACCGCTTTTGCTGGAGTAATTCGACTTTCGTAAATAATACTGATTTTTTTTTTCTTTTTGAGTTTTGTTAGCTCATTGATCTTAGTTTAGGGGCTACACTTGTATAGGAGCTAACTCTCTTCTGTAGTTACTGCATCTTCTTGATGCCTATCAATGAATCACTTCATGGAAAAGGAGGTCTCTACTGTCTACTACAAAAGCAAACTCCAAAGTGCACCAACGTAATATCTGTCTTTTTTTTTTTTTTTGGGGGGAGAGGGGGGAGGGAGCATAGGTGAGAGTACATCTTTGGGAGTTCTTGTTCTACTGTCCTTTGGATTTACTAATTTATATTGACATTTCCATCCATGAGAAAAAAACACATGAACATCTAGCCTAAAAAAGAACATCTACGTTAAGTCGTTAACCGCGAGATCAAAAGAGAGGTGCTAATTAGAACCATAATCAAACACAAAGGGATGAAACAAAAGAAATTGATATCAAAGAACATATTTCCATCATCTATTGCTTACCCTATCAAAACTGTTTTTGAGCTGACAATTGGAACTAGATCCCACAAAGTAGTTTTTATATGTATCTTGTGATTATATAAGGTAAAAAGTATTACAGAACTACCTGGTCCGCCACTGCATATAAAATAGCAATGATACACGGTAGGCAGCAACAAACAGCAATTCCAATGAGACAAGCCACGGCAACACATATAACAACAAAGAATACATCGAATGCTAGAAATGTGAGACAAAGCCTGCAAAAGAACCCAAACAAGCATCACTCCAAAGTACATCATAGCAATTACAGAGATCAGAGACTCGTTTGGGACAAACCAGTAAAGTTGAGGTGCATCATGAGTCAAACTTTCGCCACCAGCAGATATCCAATAGAAACCAATTATCCACCAAATGAAAGAAAACATGGTATTTGCAGATTCCAGATGCTTAACAACACTGAAACAATAAATTAAGAACCATTAAAACATTCTGAGGCACAGGCATACAATTCTAGTCTTCTAGAGACACTGAAGCGTTGACACGAAATAACTAACAAGAGAAGAAGAACTCTGTTTCAGGCATTTTGACACTCATTGGCAACAAACTTTTTTTTGGTTGGTTTCCTTATACGATTAAGGACAAGCTTTAATTATCCACGACAGGCATCAATTTCAACAGTGTCAAGCCGCATAGTTACATATTCAGCAGCCTAGAGAACCTTTCTCCCACCTAACGGACCAGTACCTATGTCTTTCAAATGCACTAGTAACATGGATTTCCAATTCTCCACATGATAACTCTGAAAGGCAGCACATGAGTATACTAATTCATTTACAACAATCTGAGCCACTAATACCTTAACCAAGAAACTATACACACTAGTATTCAACTTAAAATGCCTGTTCTAACCTAACAAGTGAATCAATGAAATGAATAAGCAACAGCAAAAGCAACAACTACACGAACTATGAACAATAAGAAGAATTTACTTTTTCGATTACTAAGAATATATTCATGAAATCACATGCTTCAAAAGAGAGATTATACCTAGTTTCATCCTCATTCTGACGGCTCTCGGTGTGATAATCGCCAGCTTCCCCTCCGTCACTTCCTGAACTTGAACCGTTCCAACCTCCAGCAACGCTACTCTGCTCAGAATTCAAACTTGTAGCAGGATTCC